TTATACAGGGGGGAATCTGCTCACAGACACCTGAGAAGGAACTCAGGGTGTGGGGATGGGAGAATTTTACTCCCGACCCACTAAACCTTACCCTGTGCGCTTGGCCCTTGGCCTCCCCGGAACCGCCCGAAGGCATTACTTCGTGGGAGGGGCCGCTGTAGCGCTATGGCGCCTCTCTAGCAATACTCTAACGATCTGGTCGGGCAGTAGGTAACTGCTGCTCGGCTCGCCACTGTCGTTGTAATACCGAAACTATGTGGGTGACCGCAGTCACCACCGCGCTCCAGTTCTCGGTGGTACCACACATCCTATGAACGATGTTGTCCGGACTGGTATCCGCTCCGCATATCGCTAGCATAGCGCTCGATACTGGCTCGAAACGTGGACAGGCAAACACGACGTGTTCGGCGGTCTCCTCGACACCAGCACATGTGGGGCAGGTGGGAGTACTTGCATGTCCGAACCTATGCAGGTAGCTCCTAAAGCAGCCATGGCCTGACAGGAACTGTGTCAGGTGGAAGTTTACTTCCCCATGGCGCCTGTTGACCCAGCTTGATACGGAAGGTATCAAGCGGTAAGTCCACCTCCCCTTTGTGGAGTTTTCCCACTCCAATTGCCATCTCGCGGTCGACACAACTCGCGCGTTGTTGCGCACCCCTCGAACGGTCCTCGCGTCATAACACGCCACATCCTCCTTAATGATCAGGCTGATTGGCATCATCCCTGCTATGACACAGACGGCCTCTCTCGAAATAGTGCGGTATGCACTGGCCACCCTTAAGCACATTAGCCTGTGTGTACTCTCTAATTTCTGCCTGTGGCAGTCAATATCCAGTACCGCAGCCCACGCAGGGCCGCCGTATCTGAGGATAGATACTACGACCCCAGCGAGGAGCCTGCGCTTACTGGCATTCACTGCCGAGCTGTTTGACATCATACGGGATAATGCCCCCACAGCCATAGACGCTCTCTTGCAGGCGTACTTGACGTGGCAGCCGAAGCTGAGCTTATCGTCGAGCATGACCCCCAAGAGTTTTAGAGAGCGCACAGACCTAATTGTGCTTCCGCCGACTGTCAACGTTGCATGCTGTACTGACATGCGATTGTTGACTACGACCACTTCCGTCTTGTGATGGGCGAGCTCCAGTTTCCTGGTTCTCATCCATTCCTCCACAAGCCTGACGCAGTGGGCCGCTGTCAGCTCTACCTCCTCGAGGGATTCCCCGCAGACTACCAGCGTGACATCGTCGGCAAAACCTACAATTTTCACGCCTACCGGGAATTTTATCCTCAACAGTCCATCGTACATGACGTTCCATAACACCGGGCCCAGGATGGAGCCTTGTGGCACACCTGCGGTGACTCTAACGCATTTTTCGCCATCTTCTGTGTCGTACGTCAACACACGATTCTGGAAGTAGCTTTCCAGAATCTTATACAGCCCTCCGGGAATTTGGAGCTGGTGTAGCGAGCGGGCTATCGCCCCCCAGCACGCGCTGTTGAACGCGTTCTTCACGTCTAAGGTTAGCACCGCGCAGTAGCGAATGCCCCTTCGTTTCCGATGGACCACCTCTGCCGTCTGGATGACGTCGCGGATGGCGTCCACCGTGGATCTGCCCTTTCGGAACCCGTACTGGCTGCTTGACAGGCCGTCTACACCTTCGGTGTAGGCCGACAGCCTGTTGAGGATGACCCTCTCAAGCAGTTTCCCAGTGGAGACATGTCTGTATTTATACAGGCATTTGATGATGCATACAGACTTCATACAGAGTCAGAGACGAACCAGCCAATGGCTGAAAGTCTCTATGATAAAGAAATCAATCAATCAATCATGCAGAGTACATCATTATACAGACATTGGTTAAAAGTTACAGATTTATACAAACATTAATATCCATCAGCGGCAAAAAAGGGTTTCAGTAAAGAATTGATTTGCTTAAAACATGCTTTTTTCCAGCATATATTTGCCAAAATTCAGAGCTGCTACGTCTACCCGGGTCTAACGAGTGAGACTTCACAGATTTCCCTTGATTTTTTTTTTTTTCCTTTGGTTTGTTTTTTTTTTGTCGATCTTGTTTTCCGTGCTGAGCACCAATGCTACCGACATGCCAGGAAGTCAGCTCCCACACCTGGACCCTACCTATCGACCCATCAACTCATGAACCGGGGACCAACGGCTTTACTTCCCATCCGAAGGAAGGCGTGATCAGAGATGTTATGCCTCAGAATATCCTGGCGGCGCCGACTGCGATTGAACCCAGGCCTGCTGGGGTGAGAGGTAATCACGCTTACTACTACACCACTGGCGCCGTTAGTTTCTCTTGAATTTGTATTTTTGATTTGAGTATTTGTAGCCCTTCGTAACTTTGAAATCTCTAAGACCTCTCAGAACTTTCTCGATCTCTGAGCCTCTTCGAAGTTCACTGAATCTATCAATAGTTTTCCAAATGTATCAGAAGCTCTTTTAGTTTCACTGCTTCTTCTTTTCATTATTCCTGATTGTTTAGGAATTTCTGTGAGAAGTTCAGAGAATTTCATAACAGCTCAGAGAGCTTCATAGAAGTTTAGAGCACTCCAGAGAAGTCTAGAAAATGTTAGATAAATTTCCTGAATTTGAAAGAAAGTCAGTGAACTTCAAAGAAACACAGTGAATTTTAGAAAAGCAAACAAAAGCTCAGAGATCACCTTCACGTTTTTTGGATGAATTTCAGAGAAGTTTAGTGAACTATACAAAAGTCTGACATATAATAGAGAAACCTCTTGAATTGAAATAAGATCATTGGACTTAAAAGACATTCAGAAAAATTTGAACGCATACTCACTAAAATGAAGGAAATATCAAAAATATACAGGAAACTCATCAGACACTTTTGAAAGGACTTCAGAGAAGCTTAGGAACCGTAGAAAGGTTACTCGAAGACGTTCAAAGTAACCTTAGTTCAAGTAGTTGAGAGGTTTCAAAGAAGTTTAGGGAATTCCCACAACATTTAGGAACTCTTGAATTTGCTTTGGAATCCTCTTTTAAGATCTGAAAAAAATCTAGAAATGTAAGGAACTACAGTAATTTTAAGACGTCCAGAAGACTTATTAACAAATCAAGGAACCTCAAAAATGCTTTGAAACATAAAAGTTGTTCAGGAATTGTTTCACAGATTAAGGGAATCAGATTGAAGTATATTATAGGTCACTTTATGAAAGTTCAGAACATTTTGGAAAGGTTCAAGATAGGATCAGAGAGGTTCAGAGAACATCCAATGTCCATTGAGATATTTTAGGTTGAAAATAATTTATATCAAAGTTTTCTATGAATCTTTGAATTATGGTTCGAGTGGATTATGTTTAAAATTTCTCGTAGCTCCGCAATTGACCAGATTTGTTGGTGCTTCTCTCATTGAATTTGACTGTAATGTAATTATCACGAAATAACAAAACAAAAAAGGTTCGGCGAATATGCATTTGCAACCATGCTCAAAAATGACTTCCACGTCTGTCACACAACTCTCCCTCTTTTCCCTACTCTCAGTATGCAGACAAATGCAGACATTTTATTAGAATTTATACAGACAATTTACAAAACCATCTGGTATCTCTGTTCACAACTACCTGTTTTTATTTCACGTATGCTAGGATTTGAAATTTGATATCAAATCATTGGGATCCCGCTATAAAACAAAAAATTAGTTCAGCAGCCCAAGGGTGGTTGAGATGGCCCTAGTGTTAGAATATCATAAGAATTATCGCAGTTATGACAATGCGGTAGGATACTCCTTTAGGACTCTAGGAGATTCAATAATTTTCATCCACCCCTGTTTTCATTCCGCTTCCCAGTCCCATTTCATAATCACGCGTTGTAACTCGTTAGAAAACGAAACACATAGGTAGGGGAAATGGCTCTAATATTGGCCTATGGATCTCAAATTGGGCCCATCGCAAAAAATGTACTGTTTATAAATTTTATCTAGATCAACGCGTCATTGGGACGGTACTAATGCATATTTTTAGTCGCTTTTGAAACTTTAGTCGATTACTGAATTTATGTATGGCCCCAAATTAGTGGCATTTAGGCCGACATTACATCCTACCATTTGTAGAGGAACCTACAACCTGAGTCAACGTTCTGATAGGCGAAATGACAGATTCATCACTTGTTTACTGACTATCTTCAGGAGGGTAAATGAAGTCGTTGAGCACTGATTTTTTTGTATGAAAGCTTCGTTTTCCAAAAATATGAACTCTCTAAGTTCCATTTATCCATAGTTAACAGGTAGAGAAGTGCCGAAGCCGTAATTTTCCCTACCTGATCTCCAGTTTTTGGCCGGCGCCGGTGGTGTGGTGGTAAGCGTGACTGCTTTCTAACACCCCAATGGGTCTGGGGTTCAATCCCAGCCGAGGTCGGGGGGATTTTTCTGAGGTATAAAAATCTCTGGTCACGTCTTCCTTCGGAAGGGAAGTAAAGCCGTTGGTCCCGGCCCATGTGTGTTGTGAATGGGTGCGATATCCTACGCAGGTGTGGAAGCTGCCTTCCTGCACATTCGATTGCCCTCAATGGATGGCAATCGATGTCCGTCGGTGATTGGCACTAGATTGCGGAACAGAGACCGACGTTAAATAAAGGAAAAAAACAAGAATCTCCAGTTTGCAATACATAATTAACGTTTTATTGTATCAGTCAATCCTACCTTAGTTTCCACATGAAGAATGAAGAACTATTTATTTGAAAATTGTCGCAATATGATAAAACTTTAAACTCTCTCGTATTTTCCAGCAGACATGTTTCTGCATTCAAAGTAACGACGATGCCAACAACCATTCCACGATGCTCCGTAATTGAATCACAACTATATTTTTTTGTTTTCATATTTTTCCTATCATACAGCAATAACATGAAAATAAAAACATTCACAATTTCCACTTTGACATGCAGCGCCCCATGCCATGGCAAATTAGCAGAAATAATATTTTCTCCATTTTCTCTCTGCTTTCCCATTTTCATTTTGCAGGTTTTTCAACCGTTGCAGGCTCTGGACGTCCTCTGGCGGTCGGTGGTGGCATCGGCAGCTGCCGCAGTGTGGACCTCCCACGGGGACTTACATAATTTGATTATTTCCCGTGGTATAGCGAACTTGCTCCGTTGGCATACTTCATAGACACACAGACGAGTGACGTATGAACGTGTGTGTGTGTGTGTGTGTATGTATGTAACGGGAACCTGCTGCGAATTACGTGCGTGCGTGCGTTCATGAAATATATCAGTTTGCGTAGGTTTGTTCGCACCAAATTAATGGAAGTACTTTCGTTCGAGGCATCCAGCGAAAAAAGCTTGTCCCGTGAGAGTAAACAAAGTGCTTTTAAAATTTTATTATCGTTTTCCCAAAAAGTGTATGCGTGTTAATTGGAGAAGAATTTTTTTTAAATAACCATCCAAGTTGAAATCAGTGAGGCGTGAAAAGCTGGTAGTGGTGATGCTTGTTTCCGCTCGATGCAAGTGCTTAATGCAACCACTTAGCACTACTTCCGAGGAGGCAGCTCCCGGCGGTAATGACAGTGACAGTGGTCTACACGAGATGATGCGGTTTACCCCACGGCCGTCACGGCTCGGATAGGAAGCAGAAGTAGATAAAATGTACTGCGTCAGTGCCGTCGGATTATAACAACCATCGGGCGATTACTGGAAACGGTAGCAACTACGTGTATACTGACAAACTCTACACCAGTGGAAGACCTTGCGTGTGTTTGTTGCTGCTGGTAATCAACTACCGCAGCTACTTGCCTTGCCTCCTTTCAACAACGGGGGAAGGAAGTGAAGAAAGTGTTGTGTAAAAGTGTACCGGCGAAAATGTCGGCGGAAGATCCGACTGAAGTGAATCACGTGGAGCAAAGCGTTGTTGCTGCCGCCGCCGGTGGCAAAAGCGTCGTCGTCGTCAGTGGAAATCATTGCCACAGCAGTGACAACAACAACTTAGTAGACGACGGCGGTGGCGGCGGCTGCGGCGACGACGACGAAAGGGTGGCAATGACGACGCCACCACTCCCGCCGACGTCGGAATCATCGCCATCGATGGCTGCCTGGTAAAAATGGAACGGCGTGGAAAATAGCATTCCATGTTATTTTGTGTGCCACCCTGATGGAGTGTTGTTGGAAGGATTTTTGTTTGAGTGATTTTTGCATGGAGTTTCAGTGTTGTGTTGCTTGACTAAGAACACAGTTACGCTACAAATAGGTTAAACTGTCCAGTGTCCAGGTTCTATAAATTTCACCCAGGACGATAGAATGCATGTTGTTTCAATTCAATAAACAAATAGAGAGACAGAGAGCTGTGAATAGGAACTCAATCGACACAATATTTTTTTTTAATTAAATCATCTTGATTTATTGCGATAATTGGATAAAATTGTTGTTTTTTTATGATTTATCCGGCAACCAATGAGAAACGTCTATCAATCAGATCGTATTTGATATGCTGTTTACACACCTTTTTGATCTCGAAACCTAAAAATAACCTATTGGGCCTTCAAGTTGATTTGTTTCAACTTTATTACTAATGGATCACGCATTGATGAATCCACTGGCTTCGGCGTCTTCAATGAATACTCAACCTCCTTCCGGAAGCTTCAGGAACCTTTTTCCGTTTATGTTGCTGAGCTAGCAGCAATCAACTTCGCATCGGGGATGATTTCCGACATGCCCGTAGACCATTGCTTCATCTTCTCGGATAGTCTCAGTTCAATTGAGCTTATCGGTCGATGAAACCACTCATCTTATTTCCTTTCAAAGGGAGCAGATGAGTTTGCTGGTCGAAAGATCATATATGATTACCTTTGTATGGGTCCCCTCACATTGCTCAATCCCAGGCAATGAGAAGGCAGACTCTCTCGCAAAGGTGGACGTACAACATGGCGAGATATATGATAGAAGAATTTCACATGATGATTTTTTCCCATTAGTACGTCAGAGTTCTCTTCTAAGTTGGCAAAACGATCGGACAAGTAATTTTCTTGGGCGGTGGTTACATTCCATTATTCCAAATGTTTCTTCGAGAGCGTGGTTCAATGGTCTGGATGTAAGTCGGGGCTTCATTTGCGTGATGTCAAGACTTATGACCAACCATTACTCGCTATACGCACATCTCTACAGAATAAATCTCGTTGACAGCAATATATGTAGGTGCAGAACCAGTTATGATGACATCGATCACGCAGTTTGGTATTGCCCGGGTAATCACGCCTCCAGAGCACGATTGTTCGATACCCTAGTGGCCCGAGGTAGACAACCCTTCCGTGAAGTAAGAGATGTATTGGGAACCCGTGATCTTCCTTACATGCAGGCGATCTACGAATGCTTATGTTTGTCTGATGTTAGAGTTTAATGTGACCATTCCCTCCTTTCCAAACAATTTCCAGCCATTGTGTCCCAGTCTTATTATCCACCTGTTTCTGTGCTTCTTGTCCCTGCCCAGCCAGGATTTGGTCAACCACCCGAGAGTAGTATCTGAAGGAGGCTTCAGAAACCAGTTTCCTACCTAGCTCATTCCAATCGAAATTGTTGCCCATTAACCTCGAGCTCACCACGAGTAATTGGTACCCAATACTAACCTAGAACCAGTGATGGCAAAACACCGGTACAGTATCGGTACGGACTTCTAAATCATAACCAATGTGCTGATCTGGTACCGAGTGTTTGGTGCTGCTGACGGTTCGGTTTGGTAGTTGCAAGCAACACTGATTTTCCAGTACCGGTGCACACTGGGGACAAAATCGAAACAATGTGTTAAAATTCATTCATAGTCATTCTTATAGAAAAAAGTCTCAGGAATCGATTGGAGTGGCTTTCATCTTGGGCACGATAGGGTAAGTTGGGATTTTTCACAGTTTTGCCCTAAAATCTCCTATTTTGCATGATTTGAATGCTTTATCTCAAGATACCGGAGATATAGACGGATGATTTCTTCGGCAAAGTTGATCAGGAGGTCAAGGACTGTTGGATGATGAACAGAAAAATTCATAATTCTTCCGCTAGGCGGCGCTAGAGAGCATTCGAAGTGTGTATGTTTGTGCTGCTGTACCTCAAGATCCTGACTATTTAGACAGATGATTTATTCGGCAAAGTTGATCAGGAGGTCAAGGACTGTTGAATGATAGACAGAACGATCCAGAATTCCTCCACTAGGCGACGCTAGTGAGCATTGAAAGTGAATATATTTGTTCTGCTGTACCTCAAGACCCTGACTATTTAGACGGATGATTTCTTCGGCAAAGTTGATCAGGGTGTCAAGGACTGTTGGATTCTTACCTCGAATATGCTTTCAAGCCACTCTGCATTCTTCTTAAAGAACCGATCCTTACTGTGGGTTTTTGACCATCGCCGATTAAATTGACGAATCCAGTTTTTAACACCTTGCGCAACAGCCGCAGGTGCTTTTGACAGTGCCCTAGACACAAAGTCAGGTAAACGATTTTTATCTCGACCAGACGCAAAATATTCCTCAACGATATTTTTATTTGACAGCATTTTGCTTAATTAAATTCAGTGGAATACACTTAACACCACGTAAGAACTGCACTACACTGAGCTACTGTCACGCAAGAAACAAGAGTAAACAAATAATTCTTTTGGATTGGGTTTCGATGACGACATTTTCGCGTCAAAGTGGTCTTCGTGGTCGAGTGGTTAGCGGCGTCACCCGTCTAACAGCTATTTTGCGTGTGCCATGGAGTAAGGGTTCGATTCCTGCTCCAGCCGGTGGAATTTTTTTAAAGATATAATATATACAATAATAACCCGATTTTATCAGCCCCCTTTTAGAAAATATTTTCTAATATTCTACGAAACGGATGCGCTTTTTTAATGGTTTTATTGCACTAAAGTTTACCCTAAACATCGATCAAGAAGATTAATGGAAAAGATTTTGAATTATGACTATAAGAAATTATTGAACATTAAAAGAATAATGCGTGAAGGGACTGATAAAATCAGGTCATTACTGTAGTTTATATTTTAATGGATATTAAGAGACCAAACTTGCTTATATGTATAGGAAAAATCCCAATTTATTCACCTATGGTCTGACCCTATTTACACTCAATATGACTACCAATGATCTTATTTAAAAATTCTCACGTCATTTGATGTGGCACATGATTGATTTAAAAAAAAGTCAAATCTGGCCACTTCCCCGGTGCAACCCGGAATATATCCGGATTCAGCAAATCTGGTTCAGGGTACTAGATATCATTGATATTGAACTTGTTTTCGAATTCTGATGTAATTTATTGTGTTGGTGGGTTTTGAACTTACACACTTAGAAATTATTATTTTTACACGAGACGTAATTCAGCTTTGACGTAAATCATGGAACGTAAACAAACATGGCATGTAAAATTAAGTGTCCTGAAACTGAAACATATGCAACTCGACGAAAAGTGCGTTTGATTGAATTGATTTTCTCGTCATTTTCAACTGATTCTTATGTCAAAAGGGCCGCTTGCATGTGTCGGTCTCAGGGCACTGAAATTTACATGTCTTTTTCGTAGTGTGTACTCATAAGCTGGTTATTTTCCCTGAGACACTAAGAACTTCTTCCAGTCGTATCTCCGGAATTGTATGACCAATTTTGAAGCTCTTCCGTAGCGATCTATGTAATCATAACCCGGAGCAAAGTAAAATATCAAATTGATAACCAGTTCTATGACTCGGTCATCACTTTTTGATAATGTCCTGCAAAATACCTCAGCGGCGAAACCTGCCCAAACATGTTCAAGGAGTTACTGCGCATCGTTTTTGATCTATTTGGATGTATATAAGAAGCTCAAGTGACGTTCTAGGTCATCCAAAGCATTCTGTAGTTTAGAACATTTGACAACCACGGCCTGCACAATGTCCTCAGCGTCGAAACTTGCTCAAACATGTTCAAAGAGGTTTTGTACATCGCTCATGATCAGTTTGATGTATATATGATGCTCAAGGTTCACCAAGTTGTCCTTGATCTCAGATCAAATAATGTACCAGGTCAGTCATAACCGGTACAAGGCCCTTACTGCCATGAGATGACAAAGTGACGTAAACGCCACCATGGTCAATTCTCCCTTTTTTTCATATTCATAATCTATACCCTAAGATACACCAGAACACACTCTCTTCGTGATAAAAATGTGTTTTGGAAGCCTGGAGACAAAGTGACGTAACCATACATTTTCGGAGAAAGAGTAATATGTTTTCACTGTTTTTACGGATAAGTGACGTCCACCGTATAAGAATGTTGAAAATTCAAAAGAAGTTTTAAACAGCGAGGTTCATATTTTCCACTTAATTCTGACATTTTTTAACAGAATGAAAAAAATTTTGGCAAATTTTTATAATTATTGCAAGTTTATGCGCCCAGGTCCATGACTATAATGCATTTTTCGTTGTAATTGATGGTGTATGAGATGTTCTAGGTTCTCCAAGTTGCTTTGGAGTTCAGATTATTTAATCTACTGGCTCAACCATGAACTGCCGTTGTCCTCAGCGACAAAACCTACAAAGACATGTTCATAAAGTTTCAAATTCTCTTCCAGGTTCACTGATTCAAAGCCCTTTGTATTAAAACGTCTTCAAACAGGGTTAAACATATCATACACATTATTTACGTTTGAATTCGATATGTTTAAGACGTTATAGGTTCACCAAATTGTTCTCAAAACTTTTAAATTAGGCTACCATCTCGCATTTTTGTTTGATTACATTCATAGATCAGGGGGCCTCCATAAGCTCGGTCGGTAGAGCCTGCGACTATAAAGCAAACCATGCTTGAGGTGGCTGGGTTCGAATCCCGGTTGGTCTAGGATTTCAGATTGGAAAATTTCTTGACTTCCCTGGGCATAGTATATTATTGTACTTGCCAAACAATATACACATGTAAAAATCGAACAGGCTTGGAAAGCTTTCAATTAACAACTGTGGAAGTGCATCTAGAGCACTAAGTTGAGAGCAGGCGTTAAGTTACAGTTGGGACGTAATAGCCAGAGAAGATCATAGATAGCACTAACTAACGGAGGAATTCCGAATTGTTCTGTCCATCATCCAACAGTCC